GTCCCTTTGGCCCGAGAGAGTAACCAGGAGGAGGCAGTGAAGTGCCCACCTTCGGTGGGTAGAGAATATCAGGTGGTCTCATCACAAGAGATGTGAGGCAGGAGGGTTTTCTCTTCTCCATTACTGACAAGGAAACAGTCAGAAAGCCAATCAGAGGGACCAACGCAGCTTAGGCAGGCTGCAGCGGACCAGAGGTCAGGGCCTGGGGTGTCTGAGGTCCCGGGTCGCAGATGTGGCCAAGGATGCTGGAAGCCACTTCTCTGCTATGACCCAGCCTGGTGGGAGTGCCTGATCTCGAGCTGTTGGAGTAGCATCCTGATGAGAACAGCTGGTGACATCTTGCAGGCGTCCCAGGAAGCTCTGTGAGTTTCGCCTCCAGGAATCTGCTCCTTCTGCAGCCACTCGCCTCCAACCTCTGCTGGTTGGTTTCACTTCTTGTTTCCAGCCCTCTGCCAGGGGGTGAGTCCATGTTATTCTAGCAGCCTGCGGTTTGGCTGCCCCCGTCTTGGCCAAATGGCCTGGCCCATGCAGGGGAGAATGAATGGTCGCAGATTCATGCCAAGTTCAAGAAGCAGCAGTTACATCCACAGGGCCTGTGGGGTGCCACCAGAACCTGTCATTCTAAGGAGCATTTCCACTTGGGAGCCTGGGATGACCGCTGGGGTGGGCAGAGGCTGGCAGCTGTGACGGCTGTGGGAAGGCCTGAGTAGCTCCCAGGGCATTGGGGTATGCTGCCCAGGGTGAAATTTAGGGGCTCCCTGTGACACTTTGGAACCCGAGCACTTGGGTTCAAATCCCAGCTCAACCATTACTTCCTAGCATTTTGACCCAGGGCAAGTGATCAAGCTCTTTGCCTCAGTTTCCTTATCTGTGAAGTGGGAATGAACATAGTGCCTCCTGAGGAGGGTGGCTGTGAGGATGGCATGCGCTGGCCCCGGTGAAGCACTTAGATAGTGCTCCTTCCAGGTCCCCCCCACCCTCTCCATGCCCCCAGCTCCTACCCTTCAGGTGTGTCTCGCAGATACCAGGCAAGACAGTCCTTGTGGGCCGCCTGCTGAGGCCTCCTCTCAGTCCTCCCACCGCTGAGCCTGCTGTCCGTGCCCAGGCTGGCTGCTCAGAACCTCCGCTGTGGGTGGAGGCTGAGTCCCCGCGAGACCTTCCTCTAAGGCTGTGGGGAGGTGGAGAGACGTGGGCGGCAGTTCTGTCTCGGGCCTCGCACAATCCCCTCTCCCCTCCCTGGAGCAACCTACGTTGGCTATTGTCAAAGGCGGAGGGGCGCCGGTCTGCAGTTTACAGAATTGCATTTTGCACCCAGAGCTTCAGCAGAAGCAGGATCTTTGCAGGCTGACGGGCTGCACAGGCACAGGGGCCCTGGACACCATCCCATCCCCCGACGTGAGCATAAAGGCCAAGGGACTGCGCAGGTGGTGACTCCGCTGGCCCTGCCGGCTGCTGTCTGGGAGTGTGGATGAGCGTGAATCCTACGTGGTCTCCCCACAAGGAGAGAGAGAGTCTTCTTTCTTCTTTTCTTCGTTCTTCTCATTGAGTCTGTGCTAGAAGAGGGAATCAGCTGACCCTGGTTGTTTCTCCATCTGTGAACCAAGCCGGCACGCTGCTCCGTCTTCAGCTTACACGGGGACGTGTGTCAGTTATTTCTCAGTAACAGTGGGGGAATGTGTCTGGTGTCCGTGGGAAACAGGAGGGAGGGCGCCAGCGGCTCGTCCAGCTTGCCTCTCGCGGAAACACGGTGCGCGAGGCCGGGCCCTGCGCGGAGTGCCTGGAGGTCTGCAAGCTCCGGGGGGCTTCACCTTGGGAGGGGTGAAAACTTTACATCTCAGGGGGGCCGGGCCAGTCAGAATGCACCTGGCCACACGTGCTTGGGCTGCTGGGGAAGGTAGCCCAGCACGCGACATGGCTGCCTGGTATGTTCCCGGCCTGCGTGAGCTCTGCCAGCAGGGAGAGCGGGGGGAGTAGTAACCTGGGAGGAGACGGGGGAGGGAGACCGCGTCCATCCCCTCCTGCACGGAGCCCCATCCTGTGACTGCGAATGAAGAGGCCTGGCGGGTCGCAGCCTGTGCTGCTGGCCGGGGCATCCAGCCAGCCACCCGCTCAGGGCTTTGCTCTCTGGAACACCCCAGTTGCCTGACCCGAGAGAGGGGGACAGTGAAACACAAGGGCAGCTGTAAGGGCAAGTGTGACAGAAAGCCCCCCTGGCAGGGCTGAGAGGAAGCAGTGCCGGCGGAGGCGGCCTGGCGTTCTCCCCTTTAGCCCAGCTTCCCCCACGCAGAGGTGGACAGCGCCAGCCTGCTTCCCTGCACTCACCGTCCACACAGCCAGCTTCCTTCCTTCTTCCCTGCAACAGGAGCTCATGATCCTCCCCTCCGGGCTGGCGCACTCCTCTGGCTGGGGCTGCTTTGGTGAACACCCCCCGACGGGCCAGGGGCTTGCATTCTGGGAGGGGGCAGGCCAGGGGGCAGACAGGCCTGTGCTCCTGCGTCACGCCGAGCAATGCGGAATTCTGCAGGTGATGACACCGCAACAGCAACAAAACCCAACAGTCGAAAGGGAGCCGAACTTGAAATCAAGAGAAGAAACACACAGAAGCCAGGAGTGTGAGGCGACACCCCCAGAGGCTGAGAGGGGCTGCCGTGGAGAGGGATGTGATTCAGAAACCGGGTCGGGGTCAGTGGGTCCAGCTGGGGCTATACCTCCAGGGACGTCTTCTGAACATGCGCAGGCTATGCCCCAGACCTATCCCTGGGGGCAGGGCTCTACCCTCTTCCACTGGGTTTTAACTCCCCCTGCTCCCACCAGCGTCTCCCCGGGGCCCCAGAGGGCTTGCAAAGCTAATCTGTGCCCCCGAGTGCCTGGGACGATGTTGCCCTCTAGGCCTGCTGCCAGCATCCCAGACAGGAGCGACAGGTCATCACTTCTACCACCCAGGGCAAGTGACACAGCTCTGGAAACCAGTCCCTGCAGAACAATCTAGAAGGGCAGGCAGACAATAAAGAAAAAATATTTAAAAAAAAAAAAATCCTGTGCCCCTGATCACAGTTTCCAGAGGTACTGATCAGACTTCTCCAGAGGGTGTGGCATGGGCATTGGATTTTTTGATGAAGTTTCTCAGGATGGAGAAGGGAAAACAAGACCATTCAGTTTATAAAGACCACCCGGCAGGATAGTGTGCCAGGTCATGGAGAGGAATTAGCTGAGGGAGACGAGGGACAGGCACTCCAGGAGGTAAAGTTCCACTTGGGATATGAAAGATGAGGAGCTTGCCAGGAGTGGGAAACAGCTCTCCTGGCACCCGGGCCAGCATGTGCAAAGGGTCTGAGACTGCAAAGTTCTAGGAGAAGCCAAAAAGCCTGTGGGGCTGGAATGCAGAGAGCCAGAGGGGCCAGGTTTCAAGACCTTGTAAGCCAGGGTGAGATGCTTGGCATTTTTTTTTAAAGGTTTATTTATTTGTGCATACAAGAACTGGGGTACAGCGTTTTCTTCCCAGGATGGAGAGAAGCCTCTGGCGTGAGCAGAATTGCCCTAATGCATAGCCCTTGCGTTTCTGCTGCTCCACAGCCCTGGTTTCCCCGCGCCCCTACCCAGCTCTCTCTCCCCCATCCTTTTGTTGCATTTTCATGAGAACTCTCTGAAGGGGTAGCTAGGTGTTGTCTGTATTTTAGAGGTAACAAGGCACCCAGGTCAAAAGGTCTTGTCTGGGTTCCCCTCGGGGACCAGGGGGTGGCAGGCTTCTGGGTCATTTGGTGCTAGAGCTCTTGCCTGGAGTTGGGGTGCTGGTGAGCACAGACACGGCCCCAATTATCATGACAGTGATTTGCTTTCTTGCCACCCCCCTCCCCCTGCTGGAATGGGGGTGCATGATGCTGTCTTTCCTTGAGCCCCATGCTGCCCCGGAGCCTCCAACGTCCAGTCTCCGTGGCGCTGATGAGTCTGCTGATCTGCTCCCACTGTCCAGCAGCCCCACCGTGACAACCTCATTTTAGAAAATGAGGGTGCTTTGAACCAAATCAAAGGGGTGCTTTGCAGAGCCAGCCTGTGCTGACTCACGGCAGCTTGGCCTGGCGTGGGTGCACAGTGCTGCCCCTTTTCGATCAGTTCCCCAAGGACTGGCTGCTCCCCAAGGGCTGGGCAGTTCAGAGCCACCTCTTGAATACTGGAAACAGTCTTTGCTGTAGTATTGGGGGGTCCTTCTTGACTCAATTCTTGGAACCCCTGGGGAGCCCAATTTCCCACCCGGGCTCTGAGGGACGTGGGGTGGCTGAGGAAGTGGTGATGCTCTTGGTGGATGCCAAGAGGAGGTGCGTGGAGGGAAAGCAAAAGGATGGGGTTGAAGCTGGGAGACGCGAGGGTGTCCGGCAGCCCTGGTGGAGCCGGGTGGGGCAGAGCATGGGCGCTATTCTGGGCATTCAGGAGGCAGCACGCATGCCTGCAGCCACCTACTGCCGTCAGCAAACGTGCCGATCCACGCGTCCTGGAAGGGAGCCTTAATTAGGCAGGAAGAGATTTATCAAACTGCAGCCCTTGGAGCTGCTGGTCTCTTTGCCATCTGGACAGATGGTTTCCTACCCTGTGACAGCAGCAGCAGCATGATTTATGAGGCCCCTCAGCTCCACCCCCTGGGCTAATAAAACCCCAAAAGGAGTGAGAATTTTGCCCGCGTAGACGGGCACATGGCCTGGGGTTCACGCTGAGCTTTGCCCCGACTCTGTGAAGGTCAAGCCAGCTCCGTGGAGTTGGGAGCTTAGGATGAGTTTTCAGTTTCCAGTGCCCCGACTATAAGGAAGAACAGAGAAAGCTCTGGAAGGGGGATGAGAAGACCAGGCTGACGACTCTGCCTGAGCCGTGTGCCCTGCTGCCGCACGGGGCCTCAGTTTTATGATCTATGGGGGGAGGTAAGGATTTCTGTATCTGGCTTTTGGGGGGTTTTGGCGACACTCTGGCTGCAAATTAACCTCTGTAATCATAGAGCCCTGGACAGACATTAAGGATTGAATCCAACAAACGTTTATTGAGCGACTGCTGTGTGCTATGCACCAGCCTGGTGCTGTGATGGACACAGATGAATAAAACACGGTCCCTGCCCCTGGCGAGCTTACAGTCTAAGAACAGCCATCGGACGAGTGCACGATCACTATACTACAAGGCAGAACATGGTAAGCGCCGGGACAAAGGGACAAATAAAGTGCTACGGTGGTTCAGCGAGGGGAGCCCTGGGGCTGCCGATCAGGGAGGGCTTCATGGAGGATGTGGCTCCTGCGTGGCCTTGAAGGAAACAGAAGAGAACATTCCGGGGGATGAGCATGGCCAGAACAAAGGCACAGAGACAGGGAAACCCGGCATCCTGCCTTCCAGGAGCCGTCACTGCTCCGGGCGGACCTGGCGTGATGGGAGGGAACAATGGCGCCTCAGTGGGGCTGGAGTGTCAGGGCGAGGCCTGGGGACACCTCTGTGGGCCAGGGGCGCCTTTGAGGGGCTGTGGATGGCTGGAGAGAACATGCAGAGCCAGTTCCGGGGGGATGGAGCCTGGGCGAGTGCACGCAGAGGAGATCTGAGAGAGGCTGGCAGGGGACTCGTGGGTGAAGGTCAGAGATGAATTTGGGTCTCAGGATTGGGTGGTCCAGAGGATCTAAGGGCTTTAAACAAAAAGGAGGTGGGGCGGGAGGTGATAACCTTGACGGTGGAGATGCTGGTGCTGCCGGGGCGGGCGTGTCCAAGGAGCAGCGTGGAGCCGAGCCTGGGCCTCGGGGAGTGTGAGAGACCCAAGGGGGTGGAGGCAGCTGGGGGAGCCTGTGGGGACACAATGAGGGGGTTGGGCGGGGACACCCATGGAGTTAAGTTCCGCCTTGTGAGGCCAGGAGAGAGGGAAATAAGGGTCACAGGCGCTCCTTTTTAAGGTCAAGGTAGGGGTGTCAATAAATAAATCATAAATACATAAATAAATAAATACATAAATAAGTGAGGAAGCAGCATTGGGAAGGGAGGAAAAAAATCTCAAGAACGTGGACTCCTGGATAGAGAGGGGACAAGGGGAGCCGGGGGACGGGGCCGCAGAGCCAAGTGTGTGGACAGCTGGGGCATGGGAAGGGGCCTCTGGAGGTGGCCATGTAGACTCGCTGGTCCCCGAAGCAGGGAGACCAGGGGGATCCAGGTAGCACAAGGGCCAGGCCTGGTGGGAGGGCGGGAAGGGGCTGCAGGGGCGTGTGTGCTGGTGGACCAGGAGGACTGAGGGCATAAGGGAGATGTTACTTGTGAAAAGATGGACGTTGCCTCCTCAGAAATGGGAGGAAGGAGATCAGGGGATTTTGACTAGAGTCCTTATTCCAGATGGTTCCATGTCTTCAACGAAGCAGACAGTTGATGGTGGGGGTCGGTTAGGGGCTGGAGGCGAATGGAGGTCTGGCTGGGCTGACGGGCCACCTGCTCTCGGGGTCCTGTGACACAGTCATTGCCAGGCAGCGGGTCAGGTTGCCACTAAGGGGACAGGCCCGGACTCTGTGGGCCACCCAGGCTGACTGGGCCAGAGGCCACAATGGACCCCACTCATACTGAGCTCTAAGAGGGGGGAGCCAGGCTGCCTCCTGACCGTTAGTGCCCAGATGGGGAAACTGAGGTGCCTGCAGCTCCTGCCATCACTGGTCATTGCATTCAGGCAGCTCTGGACCCCAGATCTGGGGAATGGTGATGGGTGGAGAGCCAGGCTCTCCAACCTTTCTCTGGAAGGAACTGGAAAACTGGCTGTAAAGGCTTCTCCACATCAACTCCCACCAACTACAGTTTCAGGAACCAAGACCAAGATGAGCCAAAAAGCAAACAGGTTTTCCCTGGCCGTCTAGGGCAGGGTGCTGGCAGATAGAACGCAGGCAAACCCCAAGACCTGATGTTGAACGCCCCACGGGACTCACCCCTGGAACATTCTGGAACCCAAGGCCTTAGGCCAATCCACCCAGGCCCTGCTGGCAATTCTGCATGTCCCCCAGGCATGGCAAACTTCGGTAATGAAATGTCTTTCCAGGGCCTTTGAGATCCTTGAGATGAAAGGCTCTGGAGAAGTGTAAAATGTGATCCTAATTATTTCCACTTCTCGTGAGGCATCCAAGCCACTCAGTTCCCACAGAGGCTGTTAGGGCTGTTGCTTTTTTAAATATTCATTTTATAATGCAAACCCCAAATCTGAGACTTCAAGTAAAAACAAGAACAACAGGAAAGCAACAGATGTAGGGCCAGACTTGGGTGGGGCTGAAGACCTGAGCCGCCTTCCTCCAGCTCCACTTGCCTCCCGTGCACCATGAATTAAGAGCCAATGTCTTGTCCTCGACTGCTGTTGATTAGTTATGTCCGGTCTCATCTGCTGGGGAGCAGATCTTGATTATTTTTCTTAACTCCCATCACCTTTAAGAGGATGTTTTTTTCCTTATCTTTCAAATACATTTTAGAACATGGTTATTTCTCAGCTGAGGGGATGCGTCCAGCCCATCACGTCGGCCAAAGCTTGTCTACATGACCTGTGAGTTCAGCCTCTGAGTTACTGGCATCAAGCCCAGATTTCCCGAGGGAGATTATGCCCAGTATTTGATACCACATTGGTTTTGGATTTACAAAAAAACTGAATATTAATCTTAATAGGGGAGAAAAGGATCCTGCAAAATTCGAAAATCATCTGTGGGAAGGGGTGTGGACACTGGACCCTCTCCCTGCAGAGTCGAAAGCCTCAGTGTTGGAGCTCATGGTGGGAAAGTGACGCAAGAGTGACAGTGACACAGGAGTCTGGCCGCAGAGGCCCCTGGTGAGCACAATGCAAGAAGCAAACAAAGAGTGTGGCTGCAGAGAAATGGAGCTGGAGTCCGGGGGCTGCATCTCTGTCGGGCCCCTGGAAAGGCAATTGCGGGTGTTTCAGAAAGGATGACATTTATCTTGACGGTGCCCTTTCGAGCTTTTGCTGTGTCGTCCCTGGTGGCCGAAGGGGACAGTCCAGTCCCTCCTGTGACATTGTAACAAGGCAGGAAGGAGGGTGCCCCCAAGGGTGATATCCCCAGGTCCCCTCCTTCTCAGTAGACTCAGCGGATTTAAAGCACACCGGCCACGGCCCCTCGGTCTGGAAGCTCTTCTGCCTTACTGTGGGGTGGCGCGCTGGCCCTGAACAGGAGGTTGTGATTTTCCAAAAACACGATTTTGAAGTACCCCAGCTCGTTAGCATCTTCTGCCTTTTCCACCCCACGTCCTTGGTGGTTCTTGTTAAGCTGGAGTATGAACTGTCCACGGGATGTCTCGAGCCTTCGCGCCACCACTGCAGAGGCCCCTCTGGTCAGGGCTGGCTCCACTGAGGTTCCCCCCAGGCCAGTGGACTCAAGTTGGTGGGCCGAGGCCTTCTCTTCAGATGTGGCCCCTGCTGCTTGTCTTGTGCCCGGCGGACGCTCCAGCCTCCCTCGCTCCGTGAGACTTGGGTCAAGTTGTCCTTCTGGGTCTTGCCTCACCCAGAATCCACACACCTCAGGGGCTCGGGGAAGCTGCCAATCATGGCTCTCCATTCAACCACGAGCCCTCAGAGGCCCCCCCCCCATGCGGGAGGCAGCCGGTCCCCCCAAGTCACATGACCGGCTTCTTTTTAAGTCCTTCTGCCCGCCCCCCCAAAGATGGACCGAGTCTCCATCCAATGTGGGTGGGTTCTCCACACCTTCTTCCTGTGGCTTATCTGCCTAATGCTAGATGAACACCACACAGTTATAAATACTCAGGTCAATATATATATGCAGGTAGAGATATATATATATTCTGGTCACTGTTTTACACTTGAACAAAGAAAAACCACTAGCCTGCTTGTTGTAGAGTCTGCGCCGCCCCGACTCCCATCTGCCTGTGGTGTAGTCGGCAGGAAATGTGAGCCACCGAGTCCCCGGGGGCCCTTACGTGGCCCCGTCACACTGGCCCACAGTCAGTTTCAAGGCCCCCTGCTCGTGCAGGCTTTTGAGGGCCTTGAACTCCAAGGGCATGGTGTGCGGGCTGGCCTGGGAGGTGTAGCCGTACTTGAGGCTGTCGTAATAGTGGTACTTGACGGGGTTCTGGTTCTGATCCAGCGGGAAGGGCCAGAAGCCGTAGAGGTAGATCTGGTTGCAGAAGCGCGTGGCCAGCGTGTACATCAAGAGGCCGGTGGTGGGTCTTTTGATGTGGACCTTGTTGGTCAGCCAGTACCTGAAAAATAAAAGGAGGAAAGAAACCAAAGGTGATGCGGGCTTGTGAACAGGCCTTTGCAGGAAGCGGGACGTGTCACGCTGCCCAGTGGCCACATGCCACGTGGGGAGCTGTGGAGACCAGCTGATTCCTGCTTCCCTAGGGGTGAGGGGGGATATTTTTCTAGAAGTCCTTCCTTTTGCAGGTGGTTCCTTCTGTGGCTCCAAAGGGAACCCAGCCATTCTGGAATCTTACATCTCTTACAGAGGAGGTGGTAGCCTTTGAATTAGACAAAAGTTGTGGACCTCTAAGAACACACAGAGTGTCTGTCAGTTATGAAATATTTGATATTATGCAATGATGTTCAAGGCACTTTTGCACCCCAAGCTGTCTGCAGGCGGGGGTGACTTGAATCGTCCTTTCAACACTGCTGGTGGAGTAAACAAAAGGAATTGTTATGGAGTTTTAAAGAAAATTGGGGCTGGAGAACTAATCTAGCCTAGAAAATAGCTAGCAGGGGTTATTACTGAGTGAGTCCAGAATTCAGGGATGTGTAAGGAAAATAGACTCCTGGCTTCAGTGTTTCTATGGCAATAGGGAGGGGTGGGGACTATAGCATCTAAAGAGGTAGCCAGTTTTATTGTTGTTGAGTATGATCATGCCGCATTCTCTTATTTTTTCAAGACTATCAGAAAATTGGATTGTTATGCAAATTCTCCAAAATTTTAAAGGTTGGCCACTAGTTTAAAATGTGTTTGGACACCTCTCAGATGTGTCAAACAGACCAGGTCTGTGGGCTGGTGAATCTGGGAGGGTTGGTGGCAGCTATTGCTGACACGCCCCAGTGTACACATGCCACCAGCAGTGCCCCTGCATGACAGTATCTCATTGACATTCCCTCCTTGAGCAAATTCAGCCCTCACACTGGCCGTGCTCCACTTTTGGGGCTTGTGGCCTGTGTCCTGGGAGGCAGCCCTAGCAGAGAAGGCCTTTGGCAATAGGTTTCTTCTCAGGCCATGAGCACACCTGTGCCCAGAGCGGGGTGAGACAACCAAGGAGCTTGTAGGTGGACCTGAGGTCACACACACTCGTGCTGTGCCCTCCCCAGATGTGACTTACCCCCATGTGTCCCCTAGGTGAACACTCCCCTCTCCCCCAAATGAAGCACATGCCTCATGTCTTCCTGGAAATGTCCCTTTGTGCCCCTCACAGCTTAAACTGAATTCATCGCTCCCCCTTATGGTCATGGGTTTCCTTCCACTTCTGTTGTGCTTATCGGCCGGGCTGACATTTCATGGCCTCCCACATGAAACTGTCCTGTGGTCTCCCCAGGGTCAGGTGCCCTGCCTTCCACACCTTTGGAGGGGGTTCAAAGGCCCCTGGCTGAGTGAGTGGGCAGCCAAGGCAGGTGGCAGAGCCAGGGGCACTTGACAGACACTGCGGGCAGCCCGGCACCTCCCTGCATCGCCTGTAACTAGACTGGGGTCTGTGACCAGCTCTGGCCCATAGACCATTGCCAGAAAGTATATCCCCCCTGCTCTTTGCCTCGCCCCTCCTTGGAGAACCTCAAAGCCTCTGGGAAAGGTGGTTTCAGCCTGAGATGGAAAACTGTGTCCCTGAATCACTGGCTGGAAGAGATCCCTGCCAACCTACATCACCCTTTGCGGGAACCTGAAATAAAGTCTGTTGCTCGGAACCTCGAGGCCGCAGCATGTGGGTCGCAGCACAGCCTGGAACTGGTGTTCGCGACTTGCGTTGAGCTCGGCAAATGTTTGACACAATGGAGCTGAAAAATGGGAAGAAGCAGAAAAGAAGCGAGGGGCAGCTAGCAGACAGAGGGGAGCTAGCAGACAGAGGGGGGCTAGCAGACAGAGGGGGGCTAGCAGATGGGGGGGGCTAGCAGACAGGGGGCTAGCGGATAGGGGGGCTAGCAGACAGAGGGAGGCTAGAAAACAGAGGGTGGCTAGCAGACAGGGGGGCTAGCAGACAGAGGGAGGCTAGCAGACAGAGGGGGGCTAGCAGACAGGGGGCTAGCGGATAGGGGGGCTAGCAGAGGGAGGCTAGCAGACAGAGGGGGGCTAGCAGACAGGGGGGCTAGCAGACAGAGGGGGGCTAGCAGACCGGGGGGCTAGCAGACAGAGGGGGGCTAGCAGACAGAGGGGGGCTAGCAGACAGGGGGCTAGCAGACAGGGGGCTAGCAGACAGAGGGAGGCTAGCAGACAGAGGGGGGCTAGCAGACAGGGGGGCTAGCAGACAGCTAGGGGGGCTAGCAGACAGGGGGGCTAGCAGACAGAGGGGGGCTAGCAGACAGGGGGGCTAGCAGACAGGGGGCTAGCAGACAGGGGGCTAGCAGACAGGGGGCTAGCAGACAGAGGGAGGCTAGCAGACAGAGGGGGGCTAGCAGACAGGGGGGCTAGCAGACAGGGGGGCTAGCAGACCGGGGGGCTAGCAGACAGAGGGGGGCTAGCAGACAGAGGGGGGCTAGCAGACAGGGGGCTAGCAGACAGGGGGCTAGCAGACGCGGCTCCGTGAGGGGGGCCAGCTGGGGCAGGAAAAGACACTCCTGGCCTCTCCGATGGCTGCCAGGCTTTCCACCCGGAATTGCTAGCTGGGAAAGGTGTTAACAGCAAATGAGGCTCCAGAACGAATTGAGAGCTCAGTGGTGTGGCAGGTCCCACTTATTTCCTCCCGGCCTCCACGGGTAAACAGGCGCTCCTGACCGATGTCTGGCAGGGACGCGGGGCGCCAGGGAAGGAGCAGCTTGTAATAGAAGCTGACTGAGTTATGCAGGAACAAATCACTCTCGATTTCCCTTATATCTCCTCGGTTGCTCTGGCCAATTTAGAGACTGTGCGTGGCGGACTTGGAGGCTATTTCTTTCCTTGGGATAACAGCTGGGTGTCGAAACACAAACTAATTAATTTTGCCTTCCCAAATGAGGTCAGCTGGGTGCATCCGGGACATTGTATTGACAATGCACCTTTAATATCCCAGTCTTGAGATTTTAATTAGAAGGTAAAGTAATCTCAAAGAAGGCAGTAATTATTTTTCAAATTGGTTACCCCAATTGCCAAGACGATTAAGCGCTGTATTTTATGAACATGGGCAGCAGTAAACGAGGCTCGCCCAAATCATCTCCAAAGCACATTTCCTTCTCTCCCTGGAATCCAGGACTCGGGACGTGGTGCAGGTGGTTGCCAAGGGGCACCTGCCGGTATTTTCTGCAAGATCAGCAGCAAAGCTGGGCTCCTGGGCCCGTCACCACATCAGCAGCCTTGGCTCCAGCTGGGGGCCCACTGCCTGAGAGGGTCCCGTCTTTGGGAGGACGGCTTAGGGCTCTGGCATCGGGACACATCTTGGCATGAGGCTCATGTTGTGATAATGGAGAGCTGGGGGCTTGCTCAGAATTTGGGCGGGATCAGCGTTGGTCAAGCCCTTGGGACAAGGGAGGCTGATTCCTGGTCCCCTGGCCTCCTTGCTTACCCGAGCCAGCGCTCTCACTTAAGTGAGTCAAGCTGACTTCAACTACGGCCATACCACAGAGAAATTCCCCAGGGACTCCAAGTCCACAGAGGAGTGTCCAGGGCCTGGGTGGGGCCCAGTCAGCCCTTCAGCTCTGGGTCTGAAATCCATCCCACACCCACACACCTGCTATTTACAACCTCACGCCTGGGGACTTCCTCCAGGATGATCCCCACATCTCCTGGCTGAGGCCTTGTCTTATGCTCTCAGCTTCCCGGTCACCTCCTGTAGGAAGCCTCCCTGTCTGCCATGTTTTCTCTATCACAGCATTTCCAGCCGTCCACTGTAATTCCTCATTCGCTTATATTTTTCCTCCCCTACGGTCCTGAATTCTGTGTGCAAGGGGACTGACTTCCCAGACCCTAACGCAGCGCATGCTCAAAGCCGATGTTTCACAAATCTATTTAAAGAAGCCATGAATGAAAACAATCAATCAGAGCCCAGGGCTCCCTTGGGGGGCACTGGTCAGATTGGTGAATGAGCCCCGTCTCACTCTGCACCCAGGGCCTGCAGAGGGAGAGGCAGGCTAAAGCCATCCCAGGCAGCAGGCTGCCAAAAAAAAAAAAAAAAAGGAAAATGCATGCTGGTTACATGAGGGACTCCTGTGGCTGTGTGGGGTGGGGGCTCGGGGAGTCGGAGGGCTGCAGTTCACACCCGGGCATCACCCAGCAGGGACCCCGCAAGGCCACTGCCTGGGAGTGTAAGCCTTCTGGCTGGATCCTGGAATTTAAAGTGATCCCCTTCAAAAAGGAAAAAAAGACATTATTTCCAGCCTCATTCACAATTAAAGGAGTGCAATTTCAAGCAACAATCAGATGCCATTTTCCACTGGGTTGGCAAGGATAATAAATGTTGATAATCCGCCACGTTGGCAAGGTTATGGGAAAACAGACATTTTCAATAAGCATAGGTGGGAGCATAAATTGGTCCCCACCTCTAGGGAAGGCAACTTGGCGAGAGCTACACAAATTAGCCACGCAGCGCCCCGGCTCTCGTTTTAGCAGCGCCGCCTCCACACCGCGTAGCCGCCGGGAGCCTGCAGGAGTTTATCCAAGGAGATCACAGGGGACCCGATGACAGTCCTGAAAGACGGAAACACCCGCTCTGCCCACCGGTGGCTTCGGCTACATCCGTCATGGCCCAGACACAGCGGGGCGCCAGGCAGCTGGCGGGGAGCACGGGCGGTGTTCACAGGGCATCGCTTCCAGAATCGCCACCCCCCTCTGAGTGCAGGGGAATTTCAGGAAGGACACACCTAGAAAACCAGTTCTGTGGTTGCCTCTGGAGGAGGGCTTGCTCTTCACGGCCAGTCCTTTTGAACTATCTGGATTTTCCTTTTGACTACGTGGCCTGCTATTTTAAAAATATAGAGATGGGCCATTAAAAATGACCAAATGCCAGCGGCTGCTGTGTCCTAACATCACAGACCTCCCTCCTCTTCTGCTCCAGGGAAGACCGCCTTGGAACAGACTTCACACCTCATGGGCACCCCAGGGACTGGACCTCAGCCCCTGGGACTGGCCCCAAGGGGTCCCTCTGAGGATCTCAATGGGCATGTCTAGGAGGGGTCTGCCACCTCCCCCAAATCTCATGCTTTCCTCTCAGCCCGGGCCTGCCCTCCAGCCCTTCTTTGCCAGTCTGCTGCTCAAGCTCTCAAGGGGGTGCCCGCTGGGTTGGTGCCATCCTCAGACTTAGGCTCAGCACTCCTGGTGCCTCATTAAGCTCCAATCAAAGGCTGCCTGTGTACCAGGCCTCCAGCGGCTGCTGAAGGGCCCAGCTTTCCTGCCCCGGGGCCGCCTCCCCATGGGTCACCGCCTTGCCCATTGTTGAGACTGAATGGGAGCCACTCACTACCAGCTGCTGACCACTCCCCGCTTCCTGCGGCCGTTGAGGGCGACCGGGTGACCCTCCACTCTGGTGCAGCCCTTCCTCCCTCCCAACAGCCAGCCAGGGCGCCGAGCCACTCTGCAGGCTGGCAATGCCCCCTGGAAGGGCTGCTCAGGCTGGGGTAGGAGGCGGGGAGAGGTGAAGGCTGGCCTTCTGCTCACACTCTGTGCCACGCTGTCCCCCCTACCATGCCCAGCCCATACCTGCCTCAGAGGGTCAAGAATCTTGAAAAGTCTTCTGGGTAGACACCCCCACCATGGATGACCCCAATTGTCAGGCATCCCCTCAAAGTTCACATGTAGAAGTCCTAACCTCCAATACCTCAGAACGTGTCCTCATTTGGAGATGAGGGTCTTTACAGAGGTCATCAAATTAAGTGAAGCCGATAGGTGGGTCCTAACCCACTATGAGTGATGACCTTACAGACAGGGATGTGGCCACAGACCCAGCACAGGAAGGCCACCGAGCACGCAGAGCCAGATGCCAGCGCGGGAGGGCGGGACAGCTTCTCCCCCAGGGCTGCAGACTTCGCTGGGACACAGTGTCTGTATTCTTGGGGTGTACCCAGCAGTGGGCTCGCTGTTTCATAGGAGTTTCTATTTCTAATTTATTTATGAATCTCCATGCTGTCTTCCATAATGACTGCACCCGACTTTAAAGTAAGGGAACAAGATTATTCCGCAAACCGTTGGACTTCAAGGCGTGTATGACTAAGCCCCTGGCTCGGACCCCAGCAGAGTCCTTCATCACCCTGAACCTCCTTGTCCTGATCTCCCTGCTCTTTTGCCTCTGTGCCTGTTTCTACCTCCCGGGGCCACAGCACAAGTTTGATCCCACAGGCAGCTCTCTCCACAGTCGGTGGCAGCTGCCACGATCACAGTAGCTTAGGATGGCTGGTTGCCTGTCTCTCCTGTGTGGCTGGCTTGGGATCCTGTTCTGATGGAGATAGTGTTCCCTTGGGTAGAGACAGAGAGCAGGGCTGAGGGAGACGAGCTCCTTGCTCAAGGCTATTATTCAAGCAAGTAAGCAGTGGAGCCGTGACCTGAGCTAGGTGTCCCTGTCCCCACAGCCCGGGTGTCTGGTGCCAGGACACGCTGTCTCTGGACTCGGTACCCACCCCTGCCTACTGCTCTGCTCCCTCGGCCTTTTCTCATGTGGTTTGTTCCAAGTCACTCACCCTTCTTCCTCTGGCGGTGGCAACTGAAACCTCTTGGCCACCAAGGCAGGGGAGCCATTCCTCCCACTGCAGGCGCCACCCATCCAGACCCGCACCTCACCCCGCAGAGGGAGAGGCCACTGCAGAAGTCCATGGCCAGGCCCTGGCGCCCTCCACCCGCCCCAGGCTAAAAGTAGAGCCGCCCTCAGCTCGTCTCTGGAAGTATTTCCTCGTGGGAGTTCCTGCAGAGGAAGATGTTACCATCTCAGGATTAACAGCCTGTTTGTTTAAAGGGCTTATTACTGGTGCCTAATGCTATTTTGACAGATGAAAGTGAGTCGATTATGGCTGAAAATAGAGCCGGCGGCTTACGTTTCCGCCAGGTGTTGCCCACTCCCCACCAGAGGGACTGTTCCTCTCCTTACCAAGGAGTCTCCCCTTCTCTGCTCTCCGCTGACCCCAAACCATGGGAAGGCTTTGCTCCTTCCAGAAAGAATCATTTAAGTCATGGAGCCTAAAGACAGGAGGTGGGGGTGGGCAGGGGGGGGGTGCGTAGGCCCACTCTGACCCTGAGGGAAGGCCAGGATGCCAAGGGAGTTCAGACACTTCTACCTCCCCGTGAGCCTGGTCCACACAGTACCACTTACTCCATCAGCCCCGCACTTCTCTGTCTCTCTAGATCTTTCTTAGGGAGCCCAGGTTTTTGTGTCGATACCCACCCCAGTGGACCAGTGCTGGTCACAGGTGGGGGTGCCTTGAAAGTCACCTTTAGAAGGCCAAAGGTCACAGGTGTTCTGCTAAGGCCCCCATGAAGGGCATCCCAGGGCCTTCGGGTAAGTGAGGAGTCCAGAGTGGGCTGTCCCGTGTCCCTGGGGCAGGGCTGTGATGCCAAGTGGCTTGAGGGGAACTGGGGGGCAGGGCTGGACCCTGTGCTGGGCGGTCAGAAGCGGGCTAGGGCACCTCACTCTTCACATGCCCCAGATAGCGCTCTCTTCCTTCACCTCCCCAACAGGCCCGTGCTTCTCCCAGGCTCTCCTGGCTCTGGCAGGGCACCACCGCCCAAGTGCTTGACCCGTCATCCAGGACGCTTCTCTTTCTCCACCCCTGGAGGGCCATAAACAGAATCCACCGGCAAATCCTGTTGCCCTTAGTCCACACTTTACAGCAAGTCAGAATGAGCACAGCCCTAGTCTGAGCACTACTGACACTCCCCGGACCACAGCGACAGCGGGTCACACGTGCTCCCAGCACGACTTCCAGCTATAATCGACTCACTTTCATCTGTCAAAATAGCATTAGGCACACCCTATTGCCTGACAGCGTGTTCTCGGGGAAGGCCCACTCAGCACAGTTCTCCAGGCAGGTGCTACCGCCGGGTTAAAACCGACCAGCCAGAGGAAACCCCTTTGTCCACCCTCCTCATTTCTCCGAAGCGGGGCTCAGGAAGGATTTGGTGAGTAGGTTCAAGGAGTGAGGGGTGCAGCAGGGCTAGACCAGGGTAGGAAAGAGACGCTGCCACCAGCCCCCCTTGCCCCAGCGTCCCCCCTGCCGGCTCACCCACGGACAGCGTGCAGCAGGCGCAGAGACGGGTAGGCGGTGCGCACGTTGACGTGGTGCTTCAAGATGAGCGCGTTGACCCACTCGACCCGTTCCTTGCCGCCCCTGGCCATGAAGGCGGGGATCCACAGGATGCTGCCGTTGAGGCTGTGTAGCCGCTGCAGCAGCTTCTCCCGCCACGTGGCGTTCACCAAGTCCTCGAAGGCCCTCTGGATGACCGATGGGTTCATGGTCACCAGGTCTGTCTTGAGCCCCACATCCCGGGCGTACTCCTGCACGGGGGCCAGGTTGCACCTGCCAGGGAAAAAGGCAACACGGTTCTGGGGGACCACCGCTTATATTGAACTCTACCCATCTGCTGCCTCTTTTTCTTTTTTCCTCTGAGAACAAGGACTCAGAATATCTTCCTGTACCTGCCAGTCCCTCTGGTTATCCCCCCTTGTCTGCAAATATTTACAGAGCACTTAGCACATACACAAAACTTTGGCACCAGTGGAAAACGCCTGCCTCCTGCAGTTTAGGATCTAGTGGGGGAAGAAGAAGGAAGGAAGGCAGCCCACAGCGAACCAAAGCATGAGGCTGTTGGCAGGTGCGCCTGGCCACGCCCCTAGGTTCAGAATTCAGGTGTGAGGCTGTGTGATACTGGGCGACCTCCTCAGCCTCTCTGTATTTCCCGAGAGCTTCCTCATGGATAAGGCGTACCCGCAGCACAAACTTCCTTAGCCCTGATAGAGATCAGATAGCAAACCCCACCCCACCCCGGGAATTAAAAGAGACACTCCATGCATAGAACCCAGAAGACAGCTGGACCACAGTATGAGCTCAATAAATATTGAGGTGCTCTGACTCCACCTGGAGGCAGCTGTGCCTCCACCCACTCCCCCGCCCCCTCCCACCGCTTCTCATCAGACAAACCTGCTCACCTTTCCTGGTCTCCGCCCCTCTCCCACTCTGTAGACTGTAGCGTTTTGAAAAAATGGGAACTGAGGCACGAGATGTGCCTGGCACAGGCAGGACCTGGCAGAGGGCAACAAAACTAAAACCACCTTGACTTTTCCATCGCTATGGATACAGAGTAAATACACAGTGCGCTCCCATGTCCTGAGACTTGGGAACTCTACAGAAAGGCCAGTTCCCAGAGCCCCGGGACAAGGCTCTCTTTGCATCAGAGACAGTCCCAATAGAAACCTGAGCTGGGTGCTGTTTGGGATGAAACTGGAGGCTCTGTGTGCCCTACTTTGACCAGGGAATAGCAAAGCCTTGTTTCTGAGTCTGTCTGGGTTGGGGTGGGAGGGGGTCAGGTAGCAGGGCCATGGGTAACTGTGCCCAAATGTGTCTCAGGGGACTGGACAAGAAGGGCTGAAATAACAGCAAAGCTGATGGTCACGTACAAAAATCTGTTTCTTCCTTAGGAACAACATTTCCAGGGAAATCATTTTCCAGATTTTGACTAACAGATAATAAAGTTACCAGTAGAGTAACTTCCAACCCATAAGAGTTTTCTAAGTGTGGACCAACAACCGGTCCATCCAAGAGATTTTCTTATAACCTTTTGTTATAAACTCTTTTTTTTATATATTTTTATATTTTGTATTTTTATATTTTATATTTTTTAATATTTTTAATATATTTATATTTATATTATATTTATATATTTTTGTTATAAAGCTTTTTTGTAATATAAAGCTTTTTTTTGTTATAAAGCTCTTTCTGGGGGTTAGCAAACTTTCTCCATAAAGGACCAGATAATCTGTGTTTTTGACTTTATAAGCTGTGCACGCTCTCATTGCAATTATTGAATTAATTCAACTCTATGTAGTTGTGAGAAAGCAGACTTTGAGCTTATGAAAATGAATTGCTGTGTCTGTGTTCCAATAAAAGTGTATTAAAAAAAACAGGCAGTGGGGGGTGTGGTTGTGTTCCAATAAAACTTTATTCAAAACACTAGTGTAGGGTAAGGAAAAATGTCAGGCTTTTCTGCCCTCCCGCCATCAGGATAGATGATGGATCCTTGCGGTCCTGAATGCATGCCTGATGGCGGCCACCTAGAGTAGGGTGTGGGCATAGGTAGATGGGATTCACCTGGGTTAAGACTGGGCTTTTAAGGGTGGTGTCACGGGGACGCCAGCAGAAGCCGAGAAAGAAGCCAGGAGCAGAGAAGCCAGGAGAAGAAGAAGAGAAACAGAGAGAATGCCAGAGAGCCCAGACAGAGTGAGGATTTTCTGGGGGCTGGGAGGCCTCCCAGCCCCCCAGCACCCCTGCCTGCTGTGTACCGGGTAAATCCCAATAAAAAGACCTGCAAAAAGCCACTAAGGACTCTGATTCCTCCTTTACCCAGTCTGCTGGATCATAGGAAACCTGCTCAGTGACCATTCCTGCCCTCTACAACTAGGCTGTGGCTTTTGACTGTGTTCCTATAAAACTTTATTTATAAAAAATAGGCAGTGGGCCTTGGCTGCCCAGGTTTGCTGCAGAGCAGTGCTGTTAGCCTCGTGGCTGCACGCAGGTGTGACCGGCTCTCTGAAATACACTCCCCCCTCCCTTTCGCCCTCCCCCGCTGTGATTGAGTTGCTCCCAGGTGCTGTCTGGACCTCAGGACTCTTGGAAGCTTCCCAAGCAATTCTAACACGCAAGCAAGGTAGAGAAGCGGGGCCTGCACTTACCTTATGACGAAGCTGTGCGTGTCGATCTCCCGGCCGCAGCCGCTGTTGAGCAGCACCCCAGAGTTGCCCACGATGGCGCAGGTGGCGAAGTGTTTGTTCTTCAGCGGCGAAGTCCGGGGCAGCAGCTCGTAGAGGTTCTGGGACACGTTCATGGTGCTGTCGCGGTCAAAGATGTAGTGAATGATGTCTCCCGGCTTCAGGGTCCCCTTGAGGACAGAGATGTCCTTTTCAGCATCCAGAAACTTGAGGATTTGCTTCCTACAGAAACCAAACACATGTGAGAAGAAAAACATCCCATCGCAGCTGCCCTCTGCTGCCCGGGGATCTCGTGCCCATCATCCCGGGCACCGCCCGGCCCTCAGGCAGAGCTGAGCCCGACCAGCGGCTTCTGGCCCCAGAGGCCATGTTGGTGATGGTGGGGCATGTCTGGTCGCCTTCTTGATGCTTTCTTCCTGTGAGAGGTGGACTCTGCTGCGAAGGGACCCCATTAGGACACAAGGTGAGTTCATCAAGGACGGCTGGTGAAGGGCGGGCCAGGACTGCCTGGGCTTTGCACTGAAAGTCCCAGCACGGGAGACCCCTCAACTTGAGGTAAACCCAGACTGGTCCCGTGACGCCCACTTCCTCTCTGGGTGGGATTCATGGCCACCATGTCATGGGCTCCTGAATTTGGGACATGAAACCAGATGCTTTGTCTTCTGTACCTCATGCCTCAGTGGCTGTTTACGGCCATGGAAACCCTCTGGGCACGGGGCCTTCAGGGCGTGAAAGGGAGTGTGGACACTGAGGTGTGTGACCCACTCTGCTTTTGAGAAACTGAAAATACAGCCTGCTGTGGGCGAGCTGGGTTGTTTGTGGGGTATGGCTCCCTCACCCCCCAATTGCTGTCTAGTTTGGGGTTTTGTAAATATTTAATAGTTCTCCTGTCCCACAGGCCAGGGTTCCTTTTTGATGTTTCAGAACAAAGGCAATCAAACATCATTCCAGCTCTCCGGGGTGATTTTGATTTTGGGTGAAAGTTCTAGACTCGCCTAGCAAAGAATACAAATGGGATGATGTGTGGTCAGGATAAGGATGGGTGTCCTCTCAGAATCACCAGTGGGACTTTACTCAAACCGGGCAGATCCGCCGCTAGGAACCTGAGGATCCTAGGTAGAGGTTTTACTTCTAGAACTATCTAAATCACCCCACAGATCTTCAGAAATGATTCAAGTCAGAAATCTGGTGCCCAGATCAGCTGAACTTAATTTCGTTTCCTGCAGTGAGCCCCTATCTAGAACACAGTGAGGCTAGTCTTTTCCACAGAGCTCTGGAGGGACAGAATAGTCTAGTACTTTGCAAAAGTGAGAATTTGCAAGATGGCCACCCCGTAGAGTAGAGAGTAACACTGTTGCCTGAACACCTATGGGGTCTGAGATGTTCACAACCTGCGGTTCCTCTAGCAGGATGTGTCAGTCACTTGGGGGACTAGAGAGAATTCAGGTTCGGGGTTGACATCTGAGAAATCCTGATTCTGAGAGAGGCTGGGTCTCAGCTCACCTTTGAAAGCTCTCCAGGTGACACTGCTTTGTGTGGGACCTTGGGCAGAGCAAGGGGCTGCCAGAATGCTCGGCAGGGCCCCAGGCTCTTGTCCGCTCTTCATGATGGGCCTGCGGGAGAACTATCCTTGCTGAGGGGTTTCTAGCTCTTAATGGAAAACAAAGGCATTGGCTTTATTTACTGTGGTTACCAAGGATCCTGCAATTTGACGAATGAATATATTTTGGAAATTGCTGAAACCTTTGTAATTACTCACCCCAAAGTATTTAAGAGCAAAGAGAGCCCCCAGAAAGCCCATAAATAAATACCTCTGAGAGTAAATTAATTTCTAACTAATTATGAGAAATTACTATCAATTATTAAATTAAACATCATTCCAAATCACTCCCAAAGCCTTATTGTGAATGATATTGGTGATTAATTGGCAGGAGTTGAAGGAAATTCTTTTCCCTCTTGGGGGGTGGCACAGCGCTCCTGTTCAGGGGGCTGTGTGCATGCAGGCCCCCCACAAAAGTTGTCATCTGGTCTTCTCTGAAAGGTGGGGTGGGGCGCCCCTTTCTCCACCTAATGGCTGGGCAAACGGTGAGTGGGGGGTGCAGGCATGTTTGTGTGGGAGGGAAAATTTCACTGACAGGTGGTATAGTGGGGTGAATAGTTAGCCCCTCAAATATGTGCCCATCTCCTAGCCCTTGGAAGCTGGAATGTGTTTTGCATGTGTGGTTGAAATATCTTCAGATGAGGTCATCTTGGGTTTGCTGGGTGAGCTTTAAATCCAGTGACATGTGTCCTTGGAAGAGACAGGAGGGGGGGCATGGACAGTGGAGAGGCTGTTTAAAGAGAGGCAGAGATGGGAGAGATGTGGCCACAAGGCCAGGAGCGCCTGGGCTCCCCAAAGCTGGGAAAGGTGGGAAGGAATCCCCTCTGCCTTCAGAGAGAGCGCTTGGGCTTGACCCCAGAACTGAGAACACATGTCTGGGTTGGACCTCCACGCGGGTGGGCATTGTCACACTGTCTTTGGACATGAGTGCGGCTTTCCCACTTGCTCTTGGGGCCTCCGGTCAGAGGTCTGTGATGTAGGCCTTTCAGGGGTATCTGGTGAGGGTCCACCAGAAGGCCCCAGAAAAGGTGCTGGCAAAGTGGTGGCAGAACAGTGGCACCTCCCTGCTCTGGACGTGACATTTTGGTGGCCATGGTCAAGGTTGACCACTGTGTCCTGGCCCCTCCCCCCAGGTGGTCATGGCCTGGGAGGGTGACCCTGACAGGCAAGGCTTTCCCCATACAGTCCTGGCTGTGCTGCCAACCTCGTTGCCCCCACTCCCCACCTCCGGCTTTGTGTTCCAGCAACACTGAACACAAACAGACCCTGCAGGCAAGAGAGAGCTGGCCATGCCTGAGAACTCCTACTTTTCCTCCAAAACCCATGGCTTCTGGGGGTCCTTTCCTGGCTGTCCTCTTGGTCCCATTACAAATTGAAGCACCGTTTCTTCCTTTCCCCCCCATTTACCAGATGCAGTGCCATCCACGTGTGTACCTCGCTTCCCTGTCCTGTCTGCTTGCTCTTGCGTCAACCCCCAGCACATCTGGCTCATGTCAGCCCCCAGAACAGTGCATGGAAATGATGGGTTTTTCTGGCCAGCTGTGACCAGCCATGCCACCGACCCACCTTGGCTGGGTAAGTCAAGGCTCCCTCAATGCCAGGTGCCCAGACAGCTGACAGGGGCGATCCTACTGCATGGTCGCCCATGGTCACTGCCCACAGGGCACTGAAAACACAGGGCAGGAGCTGCGCTCTGGCAGCCAGACCTCGCCCTTGGCGGCCAGGCATCACGTCAGCTCCCAGCTCACTGGGCAGCTCTAGGGGCAGCCCTTAAGTCACCAGGAGGTGGCAGCTCTCCAAAGACACCCCGGCCCTGGCTGCCGCCACCTGGAGAGTCTCACCCCTTCCCAGCCCATCTGCAGGTGCTCCCGCTGCCTCCCGTGGAGAATGGCCGCTACACCTGCTGGGCGCTGGGCTCCTCGGGTTTTTATATCCAGTTGATCGCTTACAGATGAAACCCACCTCAGCGGGAGGTCAACCTTTTATTTCTATCCCGATTTCTTTAGATGATGAAGAGCGGCAATTTGCCAGCTTGTGCTGCAGAAGGCCAAGCCTGCCTCTTGTCCTATAGGTAATTACCACTACCTGATCCTCAGAGAGAGAGTCTGGTTGTGTCTCCACTTGGCCGAGGCCGGCTGGATGTTGTGCTTCATGCTCTCATTACTTCTGTCAACAACAGCTGGTGATGAGGAGCCATTTATTACAACTTCAGCTCTGGAAGGAAAAAACAGAGGACGAGGGTAGACACGATCTGTTAGCATGCCAACGAGACGCCTAATAGTTTTGTTTTTGCACGGACCTGAATGTAAACTTTGTCGGAAGAGCGAAATTGCAGTTATTACCGAGAAGGGAAGGCAGTCTATTTATCTTCCAGAATGCACAGACGCTCTCCCTCAGGTATAACCTACATCCATTCTTGGAGACAGGACGGGGCGGGGGAGAGGGCCTGCATGTGATTAAATGGTCTTTCTCCCTGCCCCCGCCCAGGGAAACCTAGCAGAATAGTAATACTTCTTCAAGCTATTTTTGCAAAACTACAAATAGCAGTTGCATAGACAACCAAGTATCCTAGGCTGGTTTACAAACTCAATAAAGAGCAAAGAACACCTCCCCCCAGGGCAGTGCCACATAGCCTGGGCTTCTCCCTGGTGCCCACACCCTTGACAGTAGCCATCAGATTCTACTTCCGGTCCTGCCCTGTTCCAGACAGTGGGTCTCCCACTTGCCTATAACTAGGGGTGTGCCCTCCGTCATGTCTGTTCCCCGGTGATCTCACGTAGCAGTGAAATACAGAAGCCACTGCTGAGACCCCGAGGGGGCCTGGCGTGGGAGAAGGAGCCAGCCGGCTGTCTGCAGGGGCAACTCAGGATTCTGGGTGCACTCTATCTCCACCCCATTCAGGCACACCTGGCATTACAGGACCCGCATGAAAGTGGCGGTCTGGAATCTATGCTAGTAGGTTTCTAAGAAACTAGGTTATAGTGACATCTCGGGAGGCAGCGGCAGAGCCAGCCTGCCCCTGCCGGATGCACACAGATGCATGTGGGCCGCGCCGGTCCCTCTGCGCTGACAGCAGCCTCCCGGTTAGAATGACAAGTGGGTTTGTGATGCTGAGTTCTGGAGCCTTCAAGAACTTGAGCCACGCATCTACCTCCTCTGCCTTTATCTTGAAATAGCCAAGTTAAAAAAGGTGAAATCCTGGCAATGCAATCTCAACCCAATGCCCCATTTTGCCTTTTTGGGGTACAGAAGAAATTCATTTTGGGGTGCACATTCTGCCTGCCTCCTTCTTCAGTGTTCCCGACTTGTCTGGCTGATGCCTTGGATTCAGATAGCTGTAACTTCTGCAGAGAGCAGAGTTTTCATGGGGGTGGGTGGATTTTCCTCTGGCGCAGGCTGGAGGGAGCCTTTGAGTAGAATGAGAAGGCCTGACCTTCAGCTGCACCCAGAAAGGGGGCCCACTGGAAAGTTTTCCCAATTTGTGCCACCACTTTGAGCCTCCATTTCTCCATTTGTAGAAAGAGGGTCTCAAAGAGGAAGATGTCTGGCTCTAAGTTTCTAGAATTCTCTAAGAACCACCGAATTCTCCTAGCCTCTCCCTGACTGCTGACTCCTGAGGCCCTGCTTGTGGCTGCATCCCTAAGGCCCTGGCAGTAGTGGTGACCCTCAGGAGCAGGGATTCGGCTGCTGCGCTCCGAGTCTCCAAGCTTCTCTGCAGCTTGCACCAGTAGGTTTATGTGCTAGAAATGCTTTAATATTTGTGATGAAGCACTGTCTTCCTAAGATCTGGCTGATGTTCTTATCAGGACTCAACGACTGGCACCTGGCATCTTGTGGCATCAGGTCGAGTCAACCTCAGGAGCTTCTTTCAGAAACTGGGCATGTGGGGCACCCCAGGCCCACTCAGAACAGAAGGTTCTGTAGAGGAATTCCATGGGCGCTGGCAGAGGAGACTTGTACAGCATCCTGCACAGGGGGTTCCAGGCTTCTCTGGGATACTCGTGGTGGAGACAGGTCAGGGCAAGAGAGAAATGTTGGCCAGGATCACCACTTGCTAGTGAAAACTGGGCAGGACTCTACACATGGTCTTAGTGGACTTCAACCCTGGGGCGCATGGGAAAGGCACTGGGCTTAGATACCCCCAAGGCCACCTTGGTGTCCTGGATGTCCATGCCGGTGGCTGAGATCCTCCTCTTCATGAATGTGCCCTCTGGTCCCGGCACTCCCTCTACCCGATGACACTAGAGCCTCATGTCAGGCTTAAGTTGCCATGCCTACTTAAGTGGTCATCTTCTGTCACCATGGATACTGCCACAGTAATAGTAGCGAGCATCCTTTGAGAATTTTAGCACATCAGGCATCGGGCTAGAGCCTTCTATTCAGTAGTTCTAATTCTCGAAACATCCCTTGAAAGGGGGTTGCGTTATTGTTCTAATTAAAAAAGGAGGCTCAGAGGGGTGAGATAACTTGTCCAATGCCCAGCTCATAAGCTCGGGGACTGAGCACGGGTGTGTCTGACTCCCGAGACTATTCTTACTTCTCTTACTTGATGCCAATAAGACCATGCCCGCCCCAACCCCATGGTGCCATGGGCACAGGGAATCCTGCTTCAGAGGAAGGGTCTTCTTGGGGGCATCGTTTTGTGTTGAAGAGGAACGTAGGGACCCATGGTCTTCTGGGTTATTCACGCCACATCTGCATTTCACCGGACATAGCATAAGCTCCATTTGAGGCTGTAAGGGGGCTGAGGTTGATCTGGAAGCAGTGATACCAGGACAGAGGGGGCACTTTCCCAAGTCAGTCCTGTAGGGTCGGGACTGGACACACGGGGCAGGCCTCACGTGTCTGAGAGACCTAAACGAACATGGAGGGGCAATTAGCAGCCCCCACGCCAAGCAGGGAGGCCCTCTCCATTCGCAGCTTGACCAAAATGGGACATTTAGAAAGTAAAACAAGGTTTTCACTTTGAGGCGTGGCCTTTCTGTCAAATAAATGGTATCTGCTTCTCCCGTCTGTTGGACCTTAAGCTCAGGTTCATAAGACTAGAGGCCAGAGCTATGGGCCAGTTGTTACTGGTGGAGAATGTGGATGCAGGGGCCTGGTCCCTCCGCAGCCAGTGCGAAGCCTGGGTTTGCTGGCTTGCAAGCATTTACTTGCCCCCATGCATGAAGCTGCAGCCGGCCAAGGGCGCTCATGAGGAAACGCCAGGATGTAGAGGGCACGTTCCAGTCAAGGTTAATGTTGCTGAGTTGATTCTATATATGTACACATATGTAAGGAGTCTCAGCAAGGTCCTTGAAATGCTTTATTTCATCTTAATCTCCTGGACAAGTCACCCACTACAGTGAAATAGGGCGAAAGTTCTGGTTCCCTTCAGAGGCTCCACTGCTCAGCAAAAATGCAAGTTATGCATGAGCTCATTGGTGGCCCAAGCACTTCGAAATGGGTGGGCTCTTTTCCAGAAAACGACTCTTTCCCATCTGATTTTTCCATCTCTGCAGCCTCTAGACCTTGGGCCATTTCATGGGCTGTTCTATCGACAGATTCCCTCCCCGCCCCCAAGTGATTAGGGAAATGCAAACCCAAAGTGAAATGAAACAGATCTATTTGCTAAGTAAGAAGGGCACCATCCAGCAAAGAGGAGAAGCAGATTAATAGCTGCCTTACAGCAAAAACAAATGAACACAAAATCTAATTTACAAACCTATTAGATTTGCTATGTAAGCTGTTCACAGCTGATCTGATTGTACCTCTGCCTCCAGAATTCCTGCAAGACAAAGGAAATGCATTATTTATAAACCACCCAGCTCTTGTTGGCAAAGCCTTCTTCAGTGGCCAGGAGATCCTGCAGCCCATTTGGAGCACTACAGAGGAAGGTGAGCTCTCTCTCTGGCCTCTGCAGAACAGGCATTGTGCTGGCCCAGACAGGAACCCAAGCAGATGTTGGGTTCTGCAGATCCTCCCTTGTGAACATTTCAGTTCACATTAAGGTTTTCACCTGAGTCGTGAGACAAATGCCTTTGGGATTCATCACCTATGGTAACCCCACAGCATAGCATGTCTCAGCATGATTCAGCATTTGCTCCCACGTGCCTTGGCATGACTCAGCGTCTGCTCCGGCCTTCCCTTTAGATCACATGTAGCAAGATATTGTCACAGTTCACACCCTCTCCAAACTCGAGACACCACCAGAAGTTCAACAGAGGTGCAAGGTTGACTCATGAGGGCTTCCAACCAGATGTGATCACCATTTGCTTTTTGGTGGCAGGAGAAGTGACAGTAAATGCTGTCACTTTTGGGGGGAGCAGAAGGTGGATGAGTAATGTGGTCTTTTGTTCCATTTTTTGGAGGTTAAAAGTTCTTGGGGTGAAAGCATTCTATGGCCCTCTGTCGCCACACCATCCATTCAATTTTGTGGAATTCTGATCTAGAAGGGGCACGGACCATGTGGTTCCTCACCCACCTTCACCAGCTTCCATCTGCCTCTGGTACCCAGCTCACTTGGGGCCCTGTGTGTGTCTTTTAAAAGCTGAGGTGAGATTAATTGTTTTTATTAAGTCATTCCCCTCCCTGCCCCCACCTGCCACCCCTTTATAGGATGTGTGATTTGCAGAGGTGTTTCGATATACAGCTCTCATTTATAAACGTTGGCTAGCCAAAGTTAAGGTGTTTATGCACTCCAAAAAACCAGTTCAAATCACTGAGAAAGGTGGGTGTTTGCAGGAGTCCTATGATTTAATGAGAACTCTTTGGAGCAGTTAGTGCCCTCTCTGCATTCTGCTTTTAAGTCTGGATAGTCTGTTTTTTGTTTTTTGTTTTTTTTTTAATTAAAAGAAAATATTCCATTTCCCCCCCACTACCATCCCTTCTATCCCCCTGTCCCCAATCTCAGCCATCACTACATCTGCTCTGTAGCAGTTTTTGTAAGTAAGTCATAACAGACTGTCAGATCGTCTGTTATGTAAGTGACCCGTGTTTGGCTGTGTCACTCTGACTTGCTTTACTAAACATCATTCCCTTGAACTTCCTGCATTTTGCTGTAAATGGCTGCATTTCATCTTTCCTCAGGTCTGAGCAGTATTCCATACTGTGGCTAGACCACATCTTGTTGTGGATGGGCATGTGGGCTGTTGCCACGTCCTAACTATTGTGAATAGTGTCACATACCTGCTTTGCATAGGATTAGCTTACTTGTAGATACAATATTGTGCATTTTTTTTCTGATAGACTGAAATGTCTTTCAATATTATGTGGCAGCAGGCAACATTCTATCCTTTGACAGCCTTGAGCCACTCAGTTCAGGCCTCCAAGGCTCCCAGGACACGCTGCTGTCCACATGTCACTGACTATTCACGTCCCTCCCACCCGGCTCTACATCAGCAGTCCTGGCTGGAAGACCTGCTGGGTCAGATAGCAAGTCAAGCGCAGTGACTAAAAGTGCATTCATAATTCACGACTAATGAAAAGCTAATGGAATAAAAAAGAACACTCAGAAATGTTGCATATAAGACTTGATAGGTGATTTTAAAAATCACTCTCAATGAGAAATTCAGTAAGTGCTTTGGAGTCGTCAGTTAATAATGGGGAGGTGAGTTTGGGGAGGGGGTATCAGTTGAGTGATACTCTACTCAAGATAGCAAAATAAACTTCAAATAAATTTACTAGTGTTCCCCAAACTCCAGGAAGTCTTATATCCCTGTCACCAGCTTGCTACATTTGTTTATCACTCATACTAGTATTCAATTAATTTAAAGAAATTGACTCATCTTTAAAAATGTAGCCTTATCCTAAGCAATCCTTTCTCTGAAAATGCAGGTCTGATAACGTGATGATGTACTTATTTGGGGAAAAAAAAAAACACAACCACTAACCCCAAAATATTTATCTGCAGAACTCCTAAGATCGTCGTACATGATCACCACTAATACTTGTAGCAACCTCTGGAAAAGGCTGAATTAATAGTTCAGTATTTAAACAAGGCAAGCCCTAAGAAATGGGTAAGAAAATATAAAAACGATTGGAAGAGAACATTTATCAAACCTTTGATGAGACATAGGAGAGCATGTGAAGGGTGTTTAAAATTCAGGGGTGGATGACGAAATCATAAGAGAAAATGTAGCAGATTTGACTTCACAATAATTTAAAATTCTGCCTAATCAAAAAGCAAACCTCAACAAACCCTCTTCGGCATCACCAGGAAATCCCCGAGGACCCAGGTGAGGCGAGCTCTGCCTCTGCTTTAATTTCATCTGAGGCTGGATAAGGACCAGCACCGGCAGCGCCTGGCCCCCTGCGTCCAGGAGAGCATAAGTCTGCGGTTCCCCGCAGAACTACACACGTCTTCATCCTCATCCTTCCTCCAACTCAGTTTTTCCCAACTCAGCTCTATAAATACTTGGGGTGCTGTTTCTCTGTTGGTGGGTTGGCTGTGTGGACACCGCAGGTCAATGCCAGCAGCACCCCTCGCTGCACCCCGCAAGCTGTGCTGACCCAGGATATAGAGCCATCACCAAGTGTGCCCTCGGGCAAAACTGTCCTCACTGGGAACCTCTGCTCTCACTTTGTCTTAATTGCAGTAACATAGTCTATAGTGTTACACAGGGTTCAGGTGTATAAACTTGCTCTCAACACCTGTGTGGTCTACACCATGCTCATCGCTGAGAGTCGGGTTTCCATTCGTCACCTTACAACTGGCCTCTTTGGCCCGACTGATGCACGTTGATCCCCCTTCTCCGCCTCTCTTGTTTTCGGCCTGGTGTCTGTGGGACAGTGGAGCCTCCTCATCCTTCTCCCCCACCACCAGCCCACCTACATCACCCTCCAGGCTAACCCCAAACCCAATACCGGTGCCTCCCTGAAACCGTCCCGATCATCCATTCTCAGCTACTCTTTCCTTTTCCTTGAGTATTCGATTCTGTTAACAGCATTTTTCTTCTTATTTAATTATTTCATGGAATCATGGGTGGGAGGTTTTAAAGAATTCTTGCCATTTGCATAATCTAAACTGTCAAAGAAGTCTGGAGATTTGGTTCGGGTTTCAGCTTCCTCTGCTGCACTAGAATGCAAGCCCCTGGAGGGTGTGTGTTAACCACAGCCTTCATTTTCCCTGTTCTCAGGGTTTTGCTGGCCCAGGAGGGCTGGGCCTCCTGGGGTTAGCAGGTCCTGAGAGAGAACAGCCCAGGCGTGTATCTTTCAGATGCAAACCAAACAATCCAGAACCCTCATCCACATCACCTCTTTTATTGGGGTCTCACACTCTGGGCCACCATCTACCTGTCCTAAGCAACCAGAACCCAGGACCAGACAGCTGGGACAGGCCCTGCACCCCGGAGCCTGCTGGGTTATCCAAACTCACCAATCCTAAGTCTGCTTATCCTGCCCCACCTCCTGTGGAAGCTACAATCAAGGCTCTTGCCCGATTTCTACATTTTCCTCTGCTTCCGAGGGACCTGGTGCGTCCCTGTGTGTTCCTGGGGTGCTGGGTCCCGTCCTCTTGGGATCTGGGACACAGCAAATGATCTTTTCAATGACAGTCATCTTTCAGCCTCACTGTACCTGAGTATCCCAAGAAAACATTAAAATGGGTGGAGGCTGCCTTGTTCACCTGCTTAGCTTGTACAACTTGGACTCAGTGAATCAAATCAGACTCCATGCTGTGGGGCTTCCAGAGACTTCCCTGCAGTTTGTGCACTGTGTCCCTATATATTATTTATATATGGAAAAGACATGATTTCATCTCTCAGAAACCCTTAGGATGGAGCAGGCCATCATTCAAAGAACCGCAGAATGCAAATATTTGGCTCAAAGTGAATCACGTAAATTGACAAGGGATTTTTTTTTTTTTCCTAATTAGGTTCTGCAGCCAATGTTACTGAAATAAGCTTACCCTCCTTGTGATGGAGGAATGCTCATACCTGCTTGGGGGAGTGACAAAAGAAGATGATCAGGTGAGAAAAGTCCACAAAGATAATTTGCAAAGTGCTGAAATCCTACATCTAGATGCCAAGATGACCCACACGTGAACACATACGGGAAAGCTCTCTAGACAGTGGGAAAAACTCCACCAACAAGGTACAATGTTTGTAATAGAAAATGTCCATTTGACCCTGCTGAGTCTTCTCAGCAGAGGTTGGCCATCCTAAAGGTCTGCGTTCTAGAATGCCAGTCTCCTTGCCACCACTGACAGGCAGAGTGTCCCCATTAAGCTAAGACAGTAACTAAGACGGTGTGTGAAAACAACACTGTGCAGTCAGATCTGCTGTTAGTCAAAAGCAATGAGCAAACCTAAAACCTGCATTTCTGTTTAGCCTTTTCATCCGAGCCCAATTATTTCTAGGTAAGATAACAGCCAGTGTGTTGTGCTCTCGGGGCTGCGTTATAACCTCCCACGTTCTTGGTTTCTCGCTGGAGAGCCGGGCTCAGTAAAAGACCTCGCAGGTGCTGACAACTTTAATGAACAGTCTGAATCCAATTGAAACAGCTGATTAGTCTTGAGAATAGAAGATAAAGTCGTACCCAATTTGTGAATTTGCAGAGGGTTCTTCCTTCATTGTTCTGGGGTGCATACATTTGTGCCTAAAAACCACTGGGGTTCCTGCCTGCTGACACCGCGGGGCACACTCCATGGCTTCTCAGATAGGTGGTGGGTAGAAGGGCAAGAAAAAGGTGGACTCGAGGTCATTCGTTCCCATGAA